GCTTTCTATCTATCTGCATACCTATCTTAAGCGGCGGATGGGGGGATTCCAGATGGGGCATATGGACCCTGACAGCGGCTGCTAATGAGCTCAGTTAGCCAATTCAGTTTGTGGCCAGGATCGCGTGTGCGTGTGTGTGTGTCTAAATTAAACCGTCTATGATACGGCAGAGCGCATGGCTTATACGCAATTAGTTAGTCAAACGCTGATTGCCGCGCTTTGCACAATTCCGTCCAGGCGAATAGCATCCACAGCAGTTACTTACTAAAGTTTCCGATAGTTTTTTCATTTTACCAAATACTACAAGTGATTTATGACTTAATCCCCCAACCAATCAATTGATTTATTTGAAGCTTGCACTTCTATCCTAAGGTACTTCTATCTCTATTCCTATGGCTGGCATTATAAAAACCAATATGCCTAGACCAGACTTAATTTTAAAATCCCAAGACTCTCAGCATCAGCGAATCACTCTCGCTGCCGCCTCCCCAAATTAGTTCAAGGATTAGTGCAATAAAACTAACGTGCCACGGATTTGCGCAGCCCTTTTGTTGACTTAGGGGAACTGGGGCAGAGATTCTGGGCAGGAGCACGGGGGCTGCCGATGGGGCAGAGCGGGCATGTCACAATTTCCCAATTAGCTACTCATTGAGATAAATTTCTTATGCAAATGATGACAAGGCCAAGACAGGCGCTGGAGTGGCATTGGCATCCAAAATCCCCCGATTACCCCAGATGGCTGGGAAGGCTGGGGAGTTTGGGACTTTGAGTGGGCCAACTGCGCCGGTGGACAACGAGAGAGTGACATTGACTGACTCGCGATGACGAAGACGCAGTGGCACATCCGTTGGCTCACTCCTCCTAATTGGCTGCTGACATTTACCAGCTAACAACAGAAACAGCAGCGGAAATTACAGAGAAAGAGCTGCTGCTGAAATGTCAGCCAGAACAGCAGCGTAAATCTGAGTAAATTTGACATAATTAAAATGCTGAATCCAACAGCTGTATACAACCATAGTCAGACAGCTCGAAAATATAAATAAAAGGTATAGCGCACATTTTGCTAATTTCTTTTGAGTGATTAAGCCAAGGTGCTAATTATATTAGCCAACTGTCCCATATTTTCTACGGAAATTGTAACAAACTCTTAACGAAAAATCTCTTCCCGTTAAGATTCTGGTTCCAGAAGTTCATTGGACTTCACACCCAGGTGTGAAATAATTTCAGAGTCAGTGACTTGAAACGAGAGCTGCTAAACCATAGATCATGATTTAGAACAGAATTTTCTTGAAGTACATAATTCTGTACTTATCTAAGAACTTTCTACAGTTCTAGCATCATTTGTTAAATAGCAGAATTTTTTTTAATTCAATTCAAGCACTCGGAATTCTTGGTGGCACTTTTTCAGATGTCGTCTGTGCCTTTGCATTTCCAAAATTTAATTATAACTTGACTTTGCTTAAGGCTCTACCTCGCATACAAATGCAAACTTGTTTTGTTTGCTATCTGGGTGCGATAAAATTCACTTGAGAGCATCGCCTAGAACTTTGTTTGGTCCCCCAAAGGATCCAAAAGGACGTGGCGCAAACAAATGCAAATTGCTCATACGCCGTGTGGACCAGAAGCCAACCAAAAACCAAACGAGGACGACACGGAGATCAGAAATGGCGCTTATTAAAGTTTGACTTGTACTTTTGCATATTTTTATCATAATTTTTTTTTTTGGTTTTTGGCTAGCAGAGGGGTGTGCCAGTGCAGCGGGGCAAAGTAAAAGTTTCGGATAACAAAAATTAAGCATTGCCTTTTGCTTTCCATGATAATTGCGAACAATAGACGCAAACAGGAGGACGAGCCCGAGGGGCAGGAGGGTGTGACCATGTTAATGCTTCCGCATTTGCGTTCAGCTGCAACATTGCACCACCGCCTGAGCATGTGAGTGTGCGTGTGTGCACGGCAAAAAATAATAAATACCATGCGTAAATTATTGTGAGTTTCATTAGCTAAATGAATCGCTGAATTCCAATGAGCGTGCCCACAAATGATTAAAAACATTGTCCACATATATTGAATTTTATTAAATATTTTAAAGCACTCAGCACTCACCAATGATACTGTATTGAAATGTAGTGTTTTAATTAATTTTCTCGTGTGTGTTCGTGTAGGTGTGTGTACCGCACACATGGAAAAGTTTGTGTGCCAGCGACATTCACGCCTCGCTGCACTTTTTACATGCTGCATGTTGCCTGCGGGCATTAAGTGTGATTTTATGCGATTTGTACCAGGCAAACACCCGTTCAACGCCGCCCCCTAAGCCGCCCACATCCTGCCACACCCCCTTATCCGCGCCCCTCAAGCGGCGCCACTGGAAGGGGAAAAACCGCAGAAGCAGCAGAACCTTTCCCTCCCCGCACTTTCCTCCGCACTTCTTTGCTAATTTACATTTGACAAATGTTTTGCATGCTGCAAAATTTTTGCCACTGCTGCGACGACTGCTGTTCGTTAGTGCGAGGAGCCCCTGTACCTCGGCTGCCCGTCGTCCTTGCGCTCGGTGTTTTGCTAGCTGCATTTGTTTTCATTTGGTTTCTCTGCTGACATTGTTTACAGTTCAACTTGGTTGGAAATTAGTAAAAATCTCACACGAGCACCAGCCACAGAAATAAAAAAGCGAGACAATAAAAATACCAGCAGCTCGAATCGAAAAGACAAATGCAAAGGAGCGCACAGCACGAATTCGAGAAACTAATTTAAATTGATGTTGCTTTACTTTTTGGGTGCAGCCGAAAGCGTAGAAAATGAACTGGTTTATGAACCGAAAAATCTCTAAAACAATATTAAATACATAGATGAGCCAAGAGATTTTCAACTGAACTATTTTTTATTACACTTGAATTGTTATCCTTGCCATTTGCATGAGTTTATTCCAGAGCTCCTTGCTGCAGCCACTGTACGTTTTCCGGCAATTGGCACCAGCTTTTCCGGCATTCCGGGCTTGCAGATACTTTTCGGGCACATTATCCAGGGATGGACTGTTAAATGGTGGAAGATAACAATTGCTACATTTTCCATGAGCTCTTTAAAGGTACTGAAAACTATACATACACCAGCACAGCATTGAGTATCTCGCCGTAAATGCTGTTGTGCATAAAGGGTCGTTGGGATATCTCACAGATACTTTTGAGCAGACAGGCACCTGCATTCCGATCTCCGAACCTGTAATAGGAATAAGCCAGTAAAAGGCGATGACAGATGAGCCATCATATACCCACCGTTCCAAGCCCGTCTCCACGACATCGTACAGCCAAACACGACTGTCGTCCTGGAAAACCCTGCTCTGGATGCTTTTCCGCCACTCCCTGGCGGTGGACACAAATGTCGAGGTGTTCCAGAAGCTCCACCAGTAAATTGGGACAGGCGATGGCACGTATTGCGCCTGGTAGTTGACGAATCCCCAAACCGACTGCACCGTATCCGCCTGTTTAATGGGAAACGCCAAGCCAGCGACAATCTGGGGGAGAACAATTAGGAGCCCGAATGACAAACTTGGATCGATGGTCAACCTTGTTTGTGCCCTGGCCATTGAAAATGGCCAAGCGTTTGGAGCGACTGAGGCTCAAACCGGAGCTAGCTTTTCCATCAATCCCATCTCCTGCAACACTCGCAGCAAGGACGAACAGGAGCAGGACGGAGTAAGGATTCGGCTGGAACTGTTTGCCACTGGAGTGCATGGTCAACTAATTTTGCAGCCGGTGCAACTTGTGGCAGCATTGGGAAACTCAGCTCTTAGTTTGCCAAAGAAATTGACAAACGGAGAAATCGCAAAGTTAACAGAAAACTACCATTATGCACTGAGGAAAAAGGTGTGGGTTATCTTTCAAGAAACAAATTGGGGTTGAATAAATAAACTGAATTGTAAAATGTCCAATTAAATTGCATCTGAAGCGAGATGCAACCAAATTTTAAAACCACAAAACTTTCAAAGACCACATTTCAAATGAATATTTAAACCCGAACATAATCGTCCATTTATGTTATTATATTCCAAAAGATTGGATGGAATCAATACTGAGCACCGAAACCGCAACTGAAGCTGTGGCCACTGCAACTATCTGGAACACTTACGTGGCTTCGATCCGCAATGCCTCCTTAAACCATCTGCCCTCCACCCAGCTCCACTTTTCCGTGACCGGAATGGCATTCTGAATGGGACTCAATCGCCTTTGGCGGAGCCTACCATCGGATATGTAGCCTCTGTCCCTGCAGGGAGCATCCTCTGCTGGCACCTGGATTTATTGAAAGCCCAGGGCTTTTTGTCTGCCACTTCGATGGCGCTTCCAACGGAGGATCCTTCCTTCAAGCGGTGTTTCTGGCGGTTCAGTGTCCTGCCAATTGAACTCGTTAGTAGTTTTAAAGATGAAATATATTTATTTTTATTGAACAATTCATATTAAATAATAGTGAAGTATTTACACAATAATTAATTAAAAGCCTTGCCGTAACATTAATTTTGGGTTTCGATGGTAAAAGGTAAAATAAAATGTAGAATTTAAAAAGCACTCAATCAAGCTGAAAATTTTACGAAATGCCTGAAACGCGTAATCCCTTCGAAAGCTGTAGTGATTAAAATATTTTAAAAATTAACCATGAGCTACTGTTTTTTTTTACCCGACGTGTCACTTTAAAGATTATTTATTGCGGTTGTTAGCGTGAAAAATCCAGCAATCGCCGTCCAAATATAGTAATTAAACAATCTGTTATCGGGCAATTTGACAACGTAGTAAATGAATGGGCTGGTTAGAGTGAAAAATCGAGGAATTAGTACTTCAGCTGCAGGCCATTTCAATTGGGAGATGCGATGCAAATGGATCGGACTATTTAGCACCTTCCAAAGAGCACTTGGGATGCCACCGAACCGAGTTAACGACACTCAATTGGGTGCTAATTGTACAATTAAACTTTGCCAGGCCGAACTGGCCCAAAATCGCTGGCCGGAATGCGTGGCATCAGTTTCAGTGCCAGTTCGATTCGGACAGCTAATGGCATCAACATATCGTAAAATAAAAAGTTTAGGCCCGGCCAAATCGCTCCCAATCGAGGCACCAATTCGCCTCTCATGGTAATTATCTGCTTCATAAATTCGCGTTCAATTCCGCCCGGAGTTTTGGCCCCTCCAAAATGGCAGTGTTTTAATTGTGCAGCCCGATCGGAACGGAATCAAACTGGACCATCGACCATCGGCCATCGGCCATCTCTTGCGCCTCGAATATTGTCGAAAATTGCATTAATTTAACGCATGATTGGCAGTGCCGGCAAATGGAAGCGTCACAGCTAAAGTGAAATTATGCAAATTTCGTCGCCGCTTTTTTCGATGTGAGTGCCCAGGCACGCAGCAATCGGAATGTTCGATTGCTCAATTACACTGGTGAACAAAAGGGGCACAATTCGTGAAAATAAAAATGGTGGAACCTGCTCCAATAGTAAAACACTCTTGAGAGATACTCCCATTGCTTTCAAAAACTCCGCTCTTAAATTTATAAATTTATATATGTATATAGTAATTATAATTATAAAATGTGAATAAATTCTGAGATTTATGTCCTTTACAACTCTCCTATGCAAATGCCCCCATTAGAACTACCTTTTGGCTGCCGAGTGTTGACCAAGTGACTTTTGCTGGTTGCCATTAAGGAAAAATGGGAAAAACAATCAAAGTAATTGGATGTGCTGGAGTCGGCACTCTGCTCATATTGCTGCTGCCTCTTTGCCTGATCCAAAATTATAGTGCACCAAGTGGTAATGGTCACTCGAATGACTTCCACGCAGTGGTCACTACACCTGCTCCCACTGCTACTGCTCCTGCTGGTCCACTTGAATCCGGAAGGGATGCGATGGTGCGCCTGCATCGCCAGAAAAGGTACCTACTCTTCCCCGAGGGCTCCTCCTTTCAGCTGGTGTTCGACATCATCATACCCATCATAGACTACACCAACTACGCCATCCTGGGCATCACCTGCTCCGTGGCCTGGGAGCTGCCCAGTAAGCCGCCCAGCGAGCTGATTGAAAACGTGCTCACGCGCATCAACGACGGCACCATCGGCACTGTCCGCCGGAATGGCAGCGTTCCCGATCCAGAACCGGACCCACAGTCCCCGAATCTGGAACTGGACAATCGAGGAGCAGGCTCGGCTAATTGGCAGGCAGTGCACGCACCGCCAGCGAATCCACCGGCATATGCGGCCAATGAGCATGACACCCACTCGTATTACACGAATATCCAGCGCATCCCGGCCGCTTACCCATATGCAAATGCGGATGCGTATGCAAATGCAAATGGTCAGCAGGGCCAGGCGGCGATTCCTGCTAATTGGCATGCGCGACAGTCGCTCGCCGGCTGGCAGCAGAGGGGGGAGTCGGCGGCGGCGGAAACGGGCAACTGGTGGACGCGGAATGGACAGCGGTTGCAGCAGAACTGGCGCGAGAAACAGCACATGTGGGGCCCCTCGAAGTGGGAGTAAGTAAAGCTGAAATATACAGAATAAAGTTAAAATATTACATATATTATAATATATATACTTTGCAGCTATGGCTACACCCAGCGACCACGACAAGTGCTGCGAGCACCACCCAAACACCACATATACCCCGTGTTCGCCAGGCGCAGGAGGCGACGAAGTCTGGAGCAGGATGCCCACTTCGAGCGACTCCACCTGGAGCAGCATCTCAGCTCGAGGCAGCTGCTCTTTGGCAAAATCGAACGCCTGTACAAGTCGTGAGTTCAAGACGCCCACCATAAATCATTTCGCTCAGTGGTGTAGTGAACCTGTATTCCCCCAGGCGACGACTAAATGGCACCTCTTGTGTGCTCCGCGCCCTCTGCGAATCCGCCCAAAGGCAACAGCATGTCCTGCGAGGGACGAGTGTGGTCAAGCCACAAAGCTTTATAATGGAACTGCTCTCGGCCATCTTCCAATTGCCCAGCGGCGATGACGTGAAGGAGCCGGGGGACCTGGAGCTAATGATTTCACCTCATTATCTGGCGGCACATCGGCAACAGGGCGACTGTCGGCAAATCTACGGCGATTGCAATCACACATTCTGGTTGGATTGAACAAGAAATATAATAAAAGGCTGGCAAATATGAGCACGCTATTGAGTTTTATTCCAAGTTATATACTGCATTCAATGGTAACTACAATTCTAGTCGGATATTGTAAAGAAAGATTGCACAAAAGTCATTTGGAAGTTTCTTCACTTCCAGCTGAAAGCATTTACCGATTTGGGGGGAGCATCTGAGTTTGTCCCCGGAAAAACGGAGACTAGTGATCACATTACTTTAACTTCAACTCCGCAGCACTATCGGAATAAGATGGAAGTGTGCTACTTTCGGGATAAAGCGAGTAAACCAAAAGTTGGGAGCGTGAAAAAGTAATTTGAACCTCTAAATAGACCAATGAGCACTCGGAGCAAAAGGCAAAGGCAAACGCAAAAGAAGCAGCTCTGCAAGACAAACTGCTTGGCAAAACACAAAAGACGAAAAGTGTGAAAACTAATGAGAGACAAAGGAGGGCGAAAGAAATTTAACGAACGGAGTTCAAACTGAAACTGGAAACTTTCTGGAGGGAAAGCTGGCTGGCCACCACCACTACTCACAATTAACAGCCAAGTTTTGGCCAAGAACGCTTCTGCTGCCGCCTCGCTCTTTCGGTTTAGGCCAGCAGCGCGATAGTTGGCCAACAGTTGCCGCATGGACAACGCTTCGACAGCAGGTTGGAAAAATGTGGACTCGGAAAAAGAAGGGGAACTGCTCCAACGCCATCGAGAGGGGAAATTCCCCAATAGGTAATTGCTGGCCGACCATCCTGGCGCTACTCATGCTGGCCAACTTGGTCGACGCACTGAAGACCGGGGAATCCATCCAGTTGGCAACCGGGAGCCCACCATCACTGCACATAAACAATGCGGACAGCAGCCTGGAGCAGCTCATCGAGATGCGGCTGAATGAGTCTGCGTCCGCATCCGTCCAGAACAGCCAGTCAGCCAGCCAGGAGCTGTTGTCCCGGAAACGACGTTATTTGGTATTTCCGGAGGGCAGCTCCTTTCAGATGGGTAAGTCCTCAGTCACGGGACAGTGGCGAAGCTGAAGGGTATTTTACATTGCATTCGTTGCGGGGTTGTCGCAATTCCAATACACAAACATTTAAAAATCCTGAATATTTAGAGCTTAATTACAAAGACTAAACTTGTGTATCTTACGAATATAAAACCTTTTTTTAATACCCCTTACTACGCCACTGTCGTAATGCAAATCATATGCCTCAATTACCCCCGTTCTCCAAATCTCCATCCGTTCAGTGTACGATGAGATTGTGGGAGTGGTGGACCACACGAACTACTTGATTCTGGGCATTACGGTGGCCCTGGCCTGGGAGCTGCCCAGCAAGCCGCCCAGCGAGGAGCTGGACGATCTGCTGACCAAGTTGGAGGACGGCACAATAGACATCAGTCGTAACGACACCGTGTCGAACATAACCTATGTGGATGCGGATGTGGATGCCTCGGTGACCACGACGAGCAGGCCGCCGGACTACAAGCCCAACTACATCAATTTGTCGAGTTACGGCTCATCCTCGGGTGGCAGCAACTCCTACTACAGCCACTCGCCCGTATTCCGCACTCCCATGCATCCGTCGCATCGATATGCGGATAGTTATTACTCCTCACGGCCAAAGGGCGGCAGGCGCAAGGACAACCACTACTTCTACAGTCGTCCGGGAGTCAGCTCCAGCTCCAGCTCCAGCTCGAGCAATCCATTCGCCAAGTGGACGGAAGGCTACTCTCACGCCCAGAACTCACGGTATCCCTACTGGGCTCTAAACTCAAGGTAAGACTGCACTAAGACTACGTATTAAAAACATCTCCATCCCTCCAAAATGGCTTTGCTCAGTTTGGACTTGGTATTCAATCCTATTCAGTTGTATCTCAGCCATGTTCCTAATTTAATTATTAACCTTCTCATTTGCAGACTCAAAGATAGACACTACGGCTTCAAAAGCCAACAGCAAGCACCGCCGGCGGCGCAGCGACGACAGGACAGCACCAGCACCACCACCACCACCAGTCGACCCACTCGAAGGCCGGCTCCTCGACATCATCGCATATATCCGGTGTTTGGCAAGCGCAGCATTCCGGATGCAGCCAATCCGCATAAACGCCAGCGACGCAGTGGAGTGGCCACCGAGCACGAGGACAGGATGAGCCGCCTGGAGCAACTCCAGATCCAGCACCATCGCAGAAGCCGACAGTCCTTGTACGAGAGAATCGAGAAATATCTGGACAAGTAAGTAGCGCTGAGGCATTGGACTTCAAACCCAAGGAATGTGTACATTTATTCCTGTATTTCTTGAAGATACCTTAAAGTTGAGCCACTAGTTTGATGTAGACCCAGCAGGGATTACAGTTGAGAAGTACTTATCCACTAATTAGCATGCCAAACGACTTACTTCCTCCACAGACGAGGTCACCATGGCCACCACTGCGTATTGCGAACGCTCTGCGAAACGGGCCAGAAGTCGGCGGAGGAGGAGCCCGGCACCTTCGTGGGCGAACTGATGCGAGCGGTGTTCACCCTTCCGGAAGCCATGGACAACGAGCCGGTTGCCTATCGCGACACCCACTACGACAAGGCCCACGCCTCCAAGGCGGACTGTGCCGCCCTCTATCCGGAGTGCAAACAGTCGATGTGGCAGGCCCAGTTCATACAATAAACACCCACTCCCCAAGTCTGCTTAAAGTTGCTTTTATTCAGTTCCACTTTCCGCCGATTAGCCAGGCCAGTAAGTTCAGCTTACACGAGTCCCGAAACTGGCGGTCACAGTCGTCCGCTTCCATTTGCATTGCCCGGGAGTAGTCATCCTCTACGCCGGATACGGTGGGTAGTCTAAGTTGGTTAATGTGTTTTAAAATATAAGAAGATGATATTCATGAAACACACATAAATTAGTCAACTGATATCGTAGAAATGCACTAAACTTAAACTTACGTGAAAACAAGTCTCACAATATCCTGTATCATCGAATATCCCCGAGGCAGCAGCAGCCTCTTACCATCACAAATGGCTCTCAAAACACAGGCCTTAGCATCGATTCCCAAACTAAAGTATTACGAAGAAGTTAGTCATAGTAAATTACACCTAAGACTCGTCCTTACAGCTTACTGAAACCATCAAAGTGCTCGAAAAGCTGCCTGCGATCGCGATGTCCGTTGTAATGGCGCATATCCGTGAGATGCGCCAATTCGGGATAGTGAGCTACTTCGTGCGGTGCCATGTCGGGATCGTAGGGATCAAACAGCGGCTGAGACCTCACATCCTCATACGGTACCACCTCGGGATCGTAGTACTCGCCATCTGCAGATCTATACCAGCGTTTTGACCACTTGGGCGACTGCGTGGTCCACTTGCTCCATTTGCCAGGCTGCCTGTACTTCTCATAGTTGTGATTCGCTGGCGACCAGTTTTCGTAACGGTGACCATATTTGGACCAATGTGCCCACTTGGCCGGATCCACGTAGGTTGGTTTTTGAGGCCTCAAATCGATGCGTTGGTGCAGTTTAATTGGCATGGGTTTCTTTAGAGGAGTGGCCTTATATCTCCAGTTTGTTCCGGGTATCCAAACGTAGGTGGCTTCCGTCGTTGTCTTTGGTTTCTCCGTGGTCGTAGTTCTCTGACGATATCGCTTCGGGTAGACATCTTCGCGTTTTGTGGGCACGGGATAATAACAAGCCTGGTCGATATTCATATTCACACCCTTCGGATAAGCAGAGATTAGACCTTTACTCAGCTGCCCAGTAAACTTCAAATTTGATCCTGGAGGAAATAGCACGAAACGCTTTCGACGGGAAAAGACTCTATCAAGCACATGGTTCAACTCCGTGCGGTTTGAGTCCACCTGGGTCACAGTCAAGTGGATAAGTTCGAAGCCCAACACGATCAACAGTTCGACACGCATTTCTAAAGAGAACTGATTGAGATGTCCAAAGTGAAGACAACCAGTACCAATTTCTATGTACTACTACCATTGTAGTTGATGTACTGAGGTGTTAATTGCACTTTCAACAATTGAAGAACTTAATTTGAGTCTTGGCCAAATACGTGACTGATAAATAAGTTTTACTTTATTCAAGTCTGCCACTCAACAGCCAAATCAATAAATTCATATTACACTTAGACTTTAGCTCCGCCGCACATTCATCAGCATCTTTGTCCATTATGCGGCTGTATTCATCTTCCAAGCCATCCAAACGGGGCAGACTTTTAAACATAGCTTAAATGAAATATTAAAATTTTAAATAAGAGGCTTTCAACTTACGTGAATACCACTCGCAACATGTCCTGCAGCATGGAATACCCAGGTGGCAGCAGCAGTCTTTTGCTATCACAGATGGTGCGTAAAATACAAGACTTCACATCGATGCCAATCCTTAAGGGGTGCAAGATTATGAGAGAAAGATATAAAAATAAACCTAAGTACCCACTGGGAACTGAGTTTGGTGAAACGATCGAACAGTGATCTTCGGTCGCGATGGCCGTGGTAATGGTGCGATTGCCAGGCTGCACTGTACTTGTGCTGACTCCATTTGGATTTCCACTTTGGCGAATGTGTGGTCCATTTCGACCACTTTGCCTTGTTGGAATCGCTTCCTTCCCATTGGTAAGTATTCCATTTTTGGTTCTGACTCCAATGTTGCCACTTATAGGGATTGGCATAGCTATCATCGTCGATGCGTTGGGTTTTCGGAGGCGGTTGTCCCCATTTGGGTTTGGGCAAAGTCTGGGCCTTAAAACGCCAATCTGTACCGGGTATGTAAATAATTGAATCTGGCAGCTTGTCCGGTTTTTTAGTCGTGGTCTGGGGTAGAAACTTCTTCGGGTAGATATCCTCCACAGCTCCGGGTATCGGAAAATAGACAGCTTCTTCCAAAACAAATGATATTCCTTTGGGATAGGTGGCCAGAAGTCCAGTAGCAAGGGAGCAGGTGAACTTCACAAACGATCCCGGCGGAAACAAGACCGCTCTTCGCCGCCGGGAAAAAACTCTAGGCACTACATCTTTAAGTTCCGTGTTCTTCGGTTTGCCCAGATATTCTCCCAAGCTTGGGCCTAAAGCGGCATACAGCACCAATAAGGTAAAGATCTTGGCTCGTAGCATCTTAGCCAACTGAAAAGCTTGAATTATGGATGCTGCCCAAAGAGGCCAGTTATTCTGGCAGTGCCAACCGATTGCCCAAATATTTACCTACAGCTGATTGACGTCTTGATACGAGTATATTTACGATGATCATGTATCCATTAACCCACCGACCCAATTTGTGCAGTAATTCTGGAAATCGCTTGTTTGTCGATCGATCAGTTCCCCTTCAAAACTCAAGACGAATGGTACCCAAAATGAAACGAAATTGCCTAACTACGTGCATCCTGGTTCTTATTCTGACTCATCAATCGGAATCTCTGCTATGGCCAGCCTCTTCCAACTTGGGTGTAAGTAAAGTCTGATAATATCTGGGCTATAATACTAACTCATCCCTTGTAGCTGACACTTTCAGTGTCCATACCCATTGCTGAACTCTATCCAGAACGTCGTATTCTGATTGATTGGTGCTTCGCCATCTCCTACAACTATCCTTATAACCTGACTGAGTTCTATAGTATACCCATTTGGCCAGGATTCGCCAACTACAAAGCGAAACGCGAAGTGCCCCAACTGGAACTGACGGATAAGAACTTCTACACCAAATATGGACATGATAAGGACATTGGTATGCATCCCAAGGACTTTTCGGCTGGGGAACTCTATGCTTTCCTTGAGGATACCTTAGCAGGATACGGATTCCATGAAACGTGCTTGCTAAGAAGTGTTTGCGAATTGGCACAGCACCCCTTCGATGACAACCACCAGCACTTGCTCAGCGACATAGTCACCTTTGTTTTGAGGTGAGAATAATTTAAGAGATCTGTATTTTTAGTTAATTAATTTATAATCATTTTTGTAGCCCCTCCCAACACGAAGGTTTTCGGGATGACGAAGACGTGTACAGAAATGCCTACGAACTGGCCGAGCAAGATGGATTCCTTGGTCGGGATTGCTTGAGTTTATATTCCCACTGCAAACACGATGTGTTGCAGCTCATGAGTCAAGTAATATTTCACTAGAACTAATAAAAGCTGTGGAAATAGGTCTACATGTAAATTGCAATGTCTGTGCGTTTCATTAGCAGTCACTAATTAGGGCAGTGCGTTGTGTTGTCAAGAAATCAAGTTGAGATACACATTCTTCTCGGTGTGATGGTCAGCAGATCAGAATGTATCTCACTGGCGTCCACTTCATTGGAGCTCAGCTCTTGCTGTGCAGCATTGCCATACCCATCCGGGCTGAGCTCCCTCTGTTATTTCCGGCATCCTCAGTTTACCAGATCACCTCCTCGCTGTCCGTGCCCGTGGTCATTCCGGATCGCAAAGTCTTCTGGGATTGGGGTCTTCAGATGAACTACGCCCTGCCGGCTCAACCGTCCTCCTTCTACGCAGCCACCATATGGCCAGATGAGTTTTCGCGGCGGGAAAAGCGTCACTTGTGGAATGAGACCGCAAAGTATCTACCACAAGCTGCGTCCACAGTGCATCCGAGTGACTTTACGGCCGGAGAGCTGTACGAGAGTCTGGAGAATATGCTCATGCAGTATGGCTTTGATGAGTCCTGCCTGCTGCGCAGTGTTTGTGAATTGGCGCGACATCCTTTCGAGGACATAGAAAACAATATGCTCAACGCCCTGCTGACGTTTACCCTTACGTAAGTAAAAATCAAAACGTTATATTTAGTCTTTGAATTTTGGTATAACTTTCAATTGCAGGCCTTCTTTGCATGAGGCCTTTGCACCTGGGGAAAACATTTACCGAGAAGTCTACGAACTTGCTGAACAACAAGGATTTCTTGGAAAGGATTGTGGACATATATATTCCAACTGCCCCGTGGACTTTCTCAGTGGCATCAGCAGCCTGTTGAGCTAGCAGTATTTACCTGATTCATTAAACTGATTGTGGACAAGCAGCTGGCCTAGAGGCATAATAATTTAGGAAGGCATTTTCAATTCAATGAAGCTTAATTGTAAACTGCAACTGTGTGCCATTGCAGAAATAATCTGGACCAATTAAATAAGCGACAATGTTATGGCTAAGATATTTATTTCATCTGACCAGTCGGGTGACTAGATTTATGATATCTGCTTCACAACTCGGATATGATAGATGGCACTGGCCACCGAGAAAGCCAATTTGCTCGGCTTTTTCGTATCTATCACGATAATGCTGCTCGTCCTCAGTGAATCCCTCGTGTTGAGATGGTCTGCAATAAAAATCAGAAATTTCTAAATAAATACATATATCTTCTTTAGTATAATTGTATTTTGAAATATTTATTATTGTTTTATCTAACTCATAAAAAGTAAAATAGCAAAAAAAGAGTTTAGAGTTGAAAACTTACGTGAGCAGGAAGGTTATGACTTCGGTGACCATTCCATAGAAGTGGTTCTCGGCGAAGGGATGCAGGGCCAGCTCACAGACACTTCGGAGCAGACAGGATCTGTGGAAACCATAGGTCTCGAGCATATTTTCTACACCCTTGTACAGTTGTCCGGCCGTAAAATCACCCGGATGCATGCCGCCCTCCAGATCCAACTGCTGCAGATTTGCATCCAGACTGTTGTCCAACTGGCGCTTTTGCCTCCGGGACAGCTCATCTGCCCAGATGGTGGCATTGTAGAAGGCGGACACCGTGGCCGGCAGGTTGTAGTTCATCTGGAAGCCCATGTCCATGAAGACTTTGGTGCGGGTGTTGAGGTCGGCGGGAATGGAGACAGATGAGGTCAGCTGGAGCACCGTCGAGGCGGGATAGAGCAGAAGTCCATGAATGGGTCGAAAAAGGGTGATCAGCAGCAGGGTGACCTGGCCGAGATCTCCGACGTTCTGCAGCTTTGGGCGATACATGGCGATGTGATCCAATTGGGAATCATGCAACGAGACACCCGAAATCCAGAGCACTCCATTGTCTATTTGGGGATTAATTAAGGCGAGCTGTGAATGAGCGGATCAACGACCACAGCCAGATGCGTGAATAGCAATTAGAACGGTCCACAAAACACCTCTGAAAGTGGAACGCATGCTCCATCATTAATCAAGAGACATCTTCGGCTGGCTCCATTTCTTTCCACAAGAACATTTCATTACCCAAAGGTCTTCAGTCATTGGGAAAAGCTATTCTTGGTTCCACACAGAAAAAAGTTCAGATTTTATCTAAATGTTGTCTTATACCCTTCACATAAGCTGAAGACATCTTCTTATTATATACTACTAAAAAAGTGCCATAAACATGAACTTTTTAACACGAATTTAGTTCAATTTATTTTTTTCTGTGCGTTCTTCCCAATACGAATCTGTCAATTTCTTAGGCAAACACATCTTGCGTTCCTTGTGTGTCGTGGCTTAGATCCAAGTTTAAACAAAGAACGATTAGTTAGCATTGCACTGGAACACAAACAAGATGGTACACAGAGTTCTGACCTGTCTTTTGTTGCTCCTCAGTTTGCTATTCACCATTGACTTGGTGCTGAGCCTCACAAAGAACATCTACACCTCAGACGAACCTTTTTTAAGGATTGGCAAAAGTATAAGCCATCCAGATGAGAGCGGCAACAGCAGTCTTGCTTCTTTGCGTCGGTCCAAACGCGTGGCCATCTACAATGGACAGGGCGTTGTCAAGGTGGGATTACCACATGGTAGATTCGTCACATCTCCAACCATTCCACTTATCGAATCCACTTTCAGTTAGTACCGAGCCTGGCGTATCCTGTGAAGCAGACCGACAAAACACAGTCCTTTTGGTGGTTTATTAACGTGCAAGGCCAGTGGATACCCACCACCATTCCGCTATACTGGTGGAGTTTCTGGAACACCACCACCTTTGTGTCTACAGCTCGCGAATGGCGCAAGGACATGCAGTCAAAAGTCCTGCACGACGAGGCCCGCACCTGGGTCTACAATGCCATCGAAGTAGGCATGGAGCAGTGAGTATGACTAAAGGGATTAGCTAACTATCTACCTACAGTTTATTAAATTTAATTCTTTTTCCGCAGATTAGATGGTGCTCACGGCGGAGTTTGCCTGCTAAGAAGCATATGCGAAATCGCGCAGAAACCCTTCCAGAACAGCAACATCTTCAGTGAGATCGTGAACGCAGTGCTGGTGTAAGTAGCCATATTACTCGGCAGGAATGAAGTGCTCAAATGTACTTGAAATACAATTTTAGACCCACCCTGGACAATGTGGCCAGCAAGTATCTGCATGCCCGGGACGCGGGACGTGGAGGAGCGGACTGCGAGCGAACCTACAGCGACTGCAATCCGCTGCTCTGGGTCCTAGTGACCAACATGGCCAAGAATCCGTTTCAATGATCACACATCACACATCCGGCATCCGTGCTGGCACTCAGGGCACACAATTTAATTTCCTCATACAAATAAAAAGTGTATATGCTGTAGAATCGTAAAAGCGCTTTATATAATCAGAGCCACGGCTCTACTTCTTGGCAATGGCTCGTCGTCGGAACTCGGCCCAAATCTCGCAGAGCAGCGGCTTCACCAGACAGTTGCACTCCTTGAGGGGCGCTGCGCCGGGCTTGAGACGCCGGCACTCTGAGAAGGAGGGATACGGCGTCCGGGGCTTCACACACGGCAAGGGTCCCCGTTCCCTTCTGCACGAGGGTGGTCGGCGGCCATCGCGGTGACAGCGACGGGCCAGTCGGGGACAATCCTCTTCCGAGGGATCCGGACAGGGCTGCGGGCAGGCGGTCGAGGGCCTGGCCGATGGCTTGCGCCGCTTGACAGGAGCCGGCTTGGCCTTGGCGAAACAGCATATCTTCTTGGGCTTGATCTGGATGGCCGGACAGGCCACCCATGTCTGCCAATACTTCCGCTTGGCCTTGTCCGACTCGACATAGTAGATATCGTCGAAGCGCGGATTGAACGGACAGGCCGTGTCGTCAGGATCGCAGAATGGGTTCAGCCACATGGACTCTGCCTTGATCATCTTTTTCTTCTTCTCAGGCGGAGCCTGCAATTGGGGCTTGCCGCAGGGGAACTTGGTCATCGCTTTGGGACACCGGTTCTCTCCCTTCTTATCGCAACCAGATGCAAATCGCACACAGCTGTTAACCGCACCCAAAATCATTGGGGATGGACGAAACAGCGCTCGAGAGGAATTAACACTCAGTGCCATTATGAAGCTCTGGAATTTTGAATTTTAGCCGAAATATATTTTCCAAAAAGTTTGGGCCGCAAATTTAGATGGAATTTCGAGGAACACGACACTGGGAGGTTAGAGACCTATCCAGTCAGAGAACGGAATAGGAACTGTGAGCTCTGGGTAATACGAAATCACAGTACAATGACGTGGGGCGAAAGTTTGATTATCGGCTTACTACGTTTACAATTTTGCACCACTTTGGGCGAGAAAGTCTAGAACATTGTACGGACAACTTGGGGCGTAGAATCGGGAACAGTCCTGGATATCCATGCGATGCCTGTACTTATCATCGGTCACCTCCTCGGGAACTCTGAGGAATAGCTTATTTAATGGGCACATTATGGCACAATATATCATTTCACTTACGTCAGCACAATGCGCATTAGATCCTCCATGAGAAACCCCTGATCTTCACCAGCATTTAATTTGGCCCTTAGCTCACACATGGCTCTCTTGATACAGGACCTTAGGTCCAACTGAAAACTGTAAATTGGTGGGTTGTTTTAAATTATTTTGTGGAGTGCCTAAGGCTTACACTTTTCCCAGGGCCTCAAACTGATCGAAAATCTCTCTGCGCTCTCTGTATCCACGATGTAACTTCCAGCTGGGCACTTGATCCCAGGATTCATAAACTTCTTCTACCGGTTGATTTGAGTTCTTCCGATTTGCGGACCAACTCCATGGGGTTTGATAGAAAGAGGCCCTATTCAATGAGGGTCTGAAATATTTTCAAGCTATGTTAAAGTCCTTCAAAATTATTCATTTAATTTTACCTCGTTGTTGCTTGGTAGAATGGAACCTTATTAATGTCCGGACTGAAACTTAAAATTTCGAATTTATTTCTTCAACTGATTGATATAGACACTTTACCTATGGTAATGAGCATTTCTATAAGGCCCCGCATAGTATGGATGATAGCTTTCAGGTCTTTTGGTATATGACCAATCATATCGGCGCTTTGACGTTGGCTTCGGCTTCATCCTCTTCAGAATCTTGGGCTGCCAACCCTCGACGGTGTCGGGAACCGGAACATACATATCAAATTCCAGGCTGTACTGGAGTCCACTTGGTCGTCCGCCCAAAATGAGTTTAGTTAGGGCGGCGGTCAGGAGGATGGCAGCCTTGTCCGGAAATACCAAAGCACGCACTCGCCGCGATAGCAAGCGATTCTCCAAGGAGGAGTCCACCAGATGGGTTTGATTCCCAAAAGCCGCTCTAATGGCTCCGAGCCAAAGAAGTACCAAAATCGTAGACCTCATGCCGCCACTCTGAGAACTGAACTGAACTGTGTGCCAGGTACTAGTCGTGCAAAATTGAGGCCAGGTGAGCAGCGCTAATTAAGAAAGATGGGCTGGCTTACAGCATCAGGTGTGCTTTGACTCGTACGCACCTTACATGTCACCTCGATTTGTTGCGAGCGGATTCATTTTGTTACACGCCGCCTCTTTGGAAGCAGGCTACTTTTTGGCATTTCAATAGTTAACTTGCACAGTTCACTAACTCTTTTAATAAAATTCCTATAACTGAAAAAAAAAATATTCCGAGGATGGTTAACATACACGGTGGCACTCGGATGATGGTGAACCGCTGCATCGAGCTCCTCCGAGCGCGGATCGAATGCGCCTCCACTCGCCACATAGCCAGGCGGTACCAGCGTACCCGGGAACAGGGTAAGGTGGCCAGTCAATACCTGCCCGACGATCAGATACTCAGGGAGCGGGAGAAAGCGGATGTGTACAAGAAGAACAAACGACGCTCCATGTGGGAGCAGGACGAGGGCCACAGCGGTCGCATCTCCGCCGGAGACGATCAGGAGCGCTTCGACAACGACCAGTACCATCCGCGGGAACTGGAGAAGCGCAACTACGAGTGCACTTGGGTCAATTTCCCGGAGAGTGTGGCGACCAAGCGAAATCGCAGGCGGGATTTCCTGGAAACGATGGACACAGAGGCCCCCCGACGTCGCCGAACTCAGGTATTTAATGGAAAGAAATCAATCTACAGATTCCCATATTTTTCTTTTCTTCAGGGAGACCGCCCAAGCACGGCAAAACCATGTGACGACGAGGCACGTGCCTTTATCAACCAATGGGATACCAATGCGGCGATGATCCAGCGCAACAAATTTGCTCGGGCCACCGATTGCTGTCCACCACCCATTGTATCGCTCCGGATGTCAAACGCCTGTAGCACCCGACAACGCCAATTCCTATACTAATCCATCCGGTTATACTTGACAGTTGTATTCTCATCAGAAATTCTAGCAATTGTTTATCTTAGTAGCCTGATCAAATTAATAGTGTCCAAGGCATCAGATTTTAATGCGTCCAAATCCGAAAATGTTGTACTGTGTCTGTAGTCCAGATGTGATATTTGTTGCTAATAAAACATATGTAAGTTTATTGAGATCATCATAACATTGTCAAAAATGGTCAAACAGCTAAAATATCTGCTGAGAATTTAATTCAATGGTTACTTTGGCCAAAAATGCCGAAAAATACTTTTGGCTAAAATTCGTTATTTTCGAAGGGCTATTCGAGATATGTAAAATGCAAATGCTTTTTATCATTTTTTAGCGGAATTAGGAAGAAATTTCAATACCCTTTACTCGTAGAGTGAAAAGGTATTCTAAAGTAGTAGTTCAAAAGTAGTTCAAAGAAAAGTAGCTCAAGCTGAAGTTCTAAACCCTATAACTCAACCTATATTAATCGGATTTTAAAGAGGCATACCTATAAATGTTTCTGGAGCAATTCTCTAATAATCTGCATTCAAATATAGAATTTTATTTTTTTTCAATTTTTTTTGTCATTCCCTTGATGTTATAATGTTGTAGAAATTCACAAAAATCAAGAAATGTCCCAAGGCTGAAGTTCTGCGGTCCATAACTCAACTGATCTTAATCGGATTTTGAAGTGGCATACCTCTAAATGTTTCTGGAGCAATTCTCTAATAATCTGCATTCAAATTTAGAATTTTATTTTTTTTCAATTTTTTTGTCATTTCCTTGATGTTATAATGTTGTAGAAATTCACAAAAATCAAGATATGTTCCAAGGCTGAAGTTCTACGGTCCACAACTCAACTGATCTTAATCGGATTTTGAAGTGGCATACCTCTAAATGTTTCTGGAGCAATTCTCTAATAATCTGCATTCAAATTTAGAATTTTATTTTTTTTTCAATTTTTTTGTCATTTCCTTGATGTTATAATGTTGTAGAAATTCACAAAAATCAAGATATGTCCCAAGGCTGAAGTTCTACGGTCCATAACTCAACTGATCTTAATCGGATTTTGAAGTGGCATACCTCTAAATGTTTCTGGAGCAATTCTCTAAAAATCTGCATTCAAATTTAGAATTTTATTTTTTTCAATATTTTTTTAATTTTTCTAATGTAATGGTATTGTAGTAATTCAAAAATGTCCCAAGACTGAAGTTCTAAGGTCCATACCTCAACTAAATGTGAAATAAGAGAAAAAAAATTTGCAATTTTTGTAAGGGGTAACATCGTAAACCTTTGCAACAAATCGCAAAAAAAATAAAATTACCAAATTTGAAATCAAATCAAGTGAAGATTTATTTACAAGTTCATCGAGATATGCCATTGAGACCATAATATCAAATGCTCTGGTCAATAAACTGATTATTACTTAACTACTTTTGTTGAAAATCGTTATTTTTAAAAATAACTTGACAATAAATATTTATAGGGACATCATATAAAGTATATTTAATAGATTTTTTATTACATTTTTCCGACGTACAAAAATACAATTTAGCGTAAAAAAGGTTTGTGTCAGAACTAAAATTTAGCCAAGTATACCACCGCCTCGCAATCTTTTATGCACAATTCTTTAGTATATATCTCCGAGCGGAATGATATATTTTTGTAACGGCCATTCCGCGGTCACACTTAATATCACATTTAATTGTTTATTATTCGGCGGTTGGTTTTTAATTGTTTTTCGGCGATGGCGCTGCTCCGAAACGCGTCCAATGGCTTCTTGGGCAGTTTCCGGCGCTTTGCCAGCAGCGGATGCACCATCTACAGCCTCAGTTCCGGTCATGTCAAGTGCGGCGTCTCGGTAATCCGCGTCTCCGGGCCGCAAACAAAGAAGGCCCTCCGAGCAATTGTTGCAAACAAAGAATACGAGCCAAAGGCAAGTCAATAAATATATGCATATATTATCCGACGTAGGAAGGATCATGACCTATAGATTGAATAGCTTTGTTTCCTAGTATCCACAATTTATAATTATATACAAATGAAAAGACTTGTTCCTTATATTTTAAGTAAAAAGTTAATTTTTGGACTGTTTAAAAAAGTCTTGTATAAAAATACATATACAAATTAAAAAAAAAATTTGTTTAAGTTTACTAAACAAAGTATATAAATTGAAATATTTCTCAACTTAGTTCGTTATATTTGGCAAGCTGCCAGGTTTCATTTGTATAACTATTTATATTTAAATACGTGAAACCTCTACTATAATAGTGAATTGTAATAGTTCCCTTATAAATACTTTTACAAATAGGCTCGTCAGGCGTATCTGAAATCCTTCTACCATCCCGCCAGCAAGGAGATGATTGACCGCGGACTTTTACTTTGGTTTCCGGGACCGGCTTCTTTCACTGGCGAGGATTCCTGCGAGTTCCAGGTGCATGGATCCCTGGCAGTCATTGCGGCCATGCTGGATGCGCTGGGAAGAGTGGATGGGTTGCGGCCAGCGGCACCAGGAGAGTTCACAAAGCGAGCCTTCTTTGGGGGCAAACTGGATTTGACAGAGGTGGAGGGCTTGGCCGATCTTATCCATGCTGAAACGGAGGCGCAGAGAAAGCAGGTGGGCAGTGGACTTAGGGTCTCGTTAATTTTGTTATAAACCCACTTTTCCTCCAGGCATTGCTACAAAGCACCGGTGCACTGGCGCGCCTCTACGACAACTGGCGCCGTCGACTTATCCGTTGTGCTGCCCATTTGGAGGCCTACATCGACTTCGCCGAAGAGGAGCAAATCGAGGGAGGCATCATCCTGCAACTCGGCAAAGAACTGAAAGCGGTGAAACGCGAGATTCGCGAACATTTGAGTGACCAGCGGCAGGGAGAGCTCCTCCGCGACGGAGTTCGTACTGTGATCATCGGAGCACCTAATGTGGGCAAGAGTAGTCTGCTCAATCTCCTCTGTCAGCGATCCGTGTCCATAGTGACGGATCAGGCGGGCACCACAAGGGATATTATAGAAACAATGCATAATTTCGGAGGATACCCGGTGGTATTTTCAGACACAGCCGGATTACGCCGATATACCACGGATAGTATAGAGCAGGAGGGAATGCAGAGAGCCAAAAACTGCGTGGTCCAATCTGATTTGATATTGCTCCTCGCAGAAGCCAAGAACATTGCACAGCTGACGCACGATGACGCAGTTGCTCCGTTTGTAGATAGCTATCTGGGCGAGTTGGATATACCCCTGGACATGTGCTCAGGAAAACGCCTACAATTGGTGGCCAATAAAACGGACACTTTGTCGGATGAGGAGCATCAACAGTTGGACAAGCTGTCCAATGTCTTAGCCATATCATGCCATAAGCCCGATAAGATGCCCGTGTTTCTGGGATCTCTGGAGAAGCAGCTGCAAGAACTGTGCGGAGAACCGCAGGCGGAGAATCCACGCATCACAAACACACGCTACCGCCAACAACTGGAGCGCTGCATTGAGAACATTGACATTTTCCTCCGAGATTACAGACCAGATGTTTACCCTGACATGGCCATTGCCGCCTCCAAGCTGCGCAACGCCGTGCGCTGCATCGAACGCATCACCGGACACATCAGCTGCGAAGATATACTCGACGTCGTCTTCAAGGACTTTTGCATTGGAAAGTGAAGAGATAAAGATAGCTTATAGCTGTGAGCTTCGAAAATTATACTGCCCCGTGAAGTATTGAATGAAATATTCAATTGTACCTTTAGAGTTTTGATAAGGATAATAAACTAAACTTTCTGCACGGATAAGCCAAATTTGTATTACTATTATTAAAAATCATCTTAAATGTGTTTTTATAGAATTTTTCATTGAATCAAAATATATTATTATAAATCAAAATAATACCGTTACGCTTAGTGTGGCCTTAACCTGGGAGTTGACCATTCCGCAGTCAACAAAGACCTGGGCACACTGTGATATTGTTTACGTGTTTTGCTCGCAGAGATTTGTTTTTTTTTTTTAGAAAAGTATGTCATCCTGGATCACAGGACTGGCAGATAAGGCCGAAAACATTTTGAACAAGCTGGACCAAAATGCGGCAACGGCCCTGCAGACAGAGAACTCCACCGGATCAGCGGATCCAATGCGCAGGAGCATGACGAGCAGCACCCAGTCTCTGTCCACGTCCATGAAGTCGACTCTGTCGCCAGTGAGGCGCTCGGGGGCCAATAGCTCATCTAGTGTGAAAAGCGAGGGCGGAGGCTCAGTGGTCACCAAGGATATGCGCCAAAAGATGGCCACATCAGCCAGTTTCTCCAACAGCCCCGACGTATCCCTCAACTCAATGGACACAAATGAATTGGCCGCCTTCAAGATCGCCCTGAATGAGATCACAGCCGAGAGGGATGAACTTCGTCTGCGGTTAGATGATCTCAATAATGAAACCGAAAAGTTCGATCTGCATCAGCACACGCAGGTGCTGGAAGCTCTGGTTAAAACTCTTTCCGAGGAGCGGGACAAGGCGGTTCATGACCACAATGAGGCCCAGGCTGCCAACATGGCCTACGTGCACTCCATATCCGAACTGGAAACCAATCTGGCCAAGTTGCAGCAGGAATACATAAGCGCCGCTCACAAATTGCAAATGCAAACGAAAGAAACGGAACAGCAGCGCCAGGAGCTCCAGGAATATCGAATCAAAGCTCAGCGAGCCCTGCAGGCAAAGGATTCCCTCATAGCAGAGTTGAAGGCTAAGCCCACAGAGGAGGGCGCAGATCCAAACCTGGTGTCGAAAGACTGTGAAACACGTTTTCTGCAAATAGAGCACGAGTCACTCAAGCAAGAACTAGAACACGCCAATGAGGAACTGCAAAAGGCGCGTTTGCAGCTGGACGATTACATTTCGCAGGAAAGACAACAACAGGTGGAGCTGAGCTCAGCCCGCCAACGTGAGGAAACCCTAGCAAAGGAGTTGCGACAGGCAAGGGAACACAATGTGACCTCCGAATCCGATCAACGAGTGCTCACCCAGGAACTGGCATCACTTCGGCAGCAGCTTAGTAACCAAATGGCTGCTGCCGCCACTCGCCTCCAAGAGCGAGAGCAGCAGCTTCAGCAGATGCGTCAGCGATTGAGCGAAGAAGCAAACACGGGGGCCAAAAACGATTACGAGACTCGGTTGAAGGCCTTAACCCAATCGCTGGTCGAACGGCAGAGTCTCCTGGAACGAGTTACGAGTGAGAGAAATGCCCTGCGACTGCAGCACGAGAAGGCACAGACGCAGCTACAGCAGAACATGCACTTAGTGGAAATGGAAAGCCAAAGGGGCAGCTCCCGCCATGCGTTGCTCAACAGTACAGATGATGGTAAGTCCAACATACTTCGAGTACCGAAAAGCACCTAAATGTGAATTCTACTTAGTCAAAGCACAATTTCCGCTTCTCATGCATCCAAGTCCATTCGACAATCGTGTGGCCCGTCGCTTCAAGCGAGCTCTTCGCCAGGCGGACTCCATGGGCATTCGTGTGGGAACCTTTTTGCGTCGCTATCCCATGATGCGGGTCTCCGTGATCGTCTATGTGGCTCTGCTCCACCTTTGGGTCATGTTTGTGCTGCTCTCCACTACACCAAACTAATCGAGCAAATACATTTAATTGAGCAATTGTTGTATTTCAATAATATTGTATGTATTGTATTTTACACGCCAAAATTGGATATCTAGGGGTACGAGTATATGTGTCATGTTTGTGGTTGCAACAATTGTATATATCGATAGTATACTTGTGTCTCGCACTCGTTCTAAATTCAATATTCAATAAACATCAACTATGTACAGAAATTGCAATTGATTTAACGCTAAAAACATCAAGCAAACAAGTAACAAGACCGAAAAAATTCGCACTAAGTTAGGATTAGAATGATTCCTCACAGTTCAGATATTGCATAAAGAATCCATCTACAGACGCTGTAAAGTTGTTAAGTAAATGTGAATTAGTTTAACTTCAGTTTAACTCCAGTTGCTGGGCAGAGCTGATAGTTCTAGCTAAGCGGAAGAAAATAGAGAGTAAACGCTTTTGGGACGATTCGCGTAAAACATGCGCTATATGCCCCGTAAGTTTTTATATCAGTCATCGGCATGGTAGCTCACATAGACAGCATCGCCACCGATGCTAATCAGGCACTGGCCCTAAGAATACAAGATTTCAGTGGAAAAACTTAAGGGTGTGTAGATTATGGTTTGCCTTACCTGATTTTTGTGCTGATTATCGAACAACATTAGTTCGGTGATGTAAAAAGAGACCATGGCATTTCCGCCCAGCGAAGCGATGTGAGCCCTCACTACAGCCAGCAGTTCGGTAATAAAGCCATGGACAAATCCGCTGATGCCACCGATTTCCCGGATCGAGGTGCTCTCCCGAATAAAGAAAAAGTTCAGGTTGCCCAAATATTTATCTATACGGCCACCAGGTATGAAACTCAGTGGCGTCACATCCACGCCATAACGATCTCGCAGAGGAAACTGCCAAGGAATAATATTATTAATATAACGACATCAATGATATTTTAATAGACTTACATAACGGCTACGTGGTACCGACCCAACGTTCAACGGCTTAATTCCGGTTGAAGGCAATCCCGAACCAAGGTTGTTAAGACGAGATGGCGAAGTTTTTCGCATTTTAAATGAGCTCATTCCGAATGGCGGAATAGCGGTGCTGGTTGGCGTGGGTGTGTCCACCATCTGATCCTCGTCCAACGGAAATATGTAATCCTCCTCTTGCAGCATTCGTTTTCCGTGTAACTCTGGCTGAGATTGAGTGACGTGCACCGTGCCATCATGAAATCCGTTCTGCTGTTGAGGTGCCGGCTGCTGTTGCTGAGCCGGTCGTCCACGTCCGCGGTACTTCATTCTGTTGGCATCGCTTAGGCCCATAGCCATGCCAGTGACTAGCAATTGAATTTGATCCTGTAGGAAAACATGTAAGTTAATGATTTATGATCAAAGTTATAGCAATTCCCTTACCGTCTCTGGCAGATCCAGTCGGAAGCGAAGATCGCAGATAGCACAGGGTATCATAGTGCGTAGCTTGAAGTAAATGGTCTGCAACAGTCTGGGAAACCAAATATTTTTAGTGCTGATCACGGTAAACGTTACGAACTTACCTCTGAAAGTGTTTGGGGAAGCCGTTTACACTCTGGCCCACTTCGAGTCGAGCGCGCCACACTTGGGTAAACATTTGCAGATTCTTGACTGTATCCATTTCCAGCATTCCCGGTACCTGTTGCGTATTAACCACATGGAAGCCTTCCGGCGGATATGGCTCCATTAACAGCGATATGATTTCCAAGTCCTCGATATCGTCCACTTCCAGGACACACAACTCCTTGTTGCCACAGTTCAGATCGATCTCGTTCATCTCCTCTTCATCAGAGTCGTCTGTATCTGATTGTTTATCGCCAGAGGCGCCTGTGGAAGGTACTCCACCGACATTGGCTACCAAATCCGGATCCAAGCTTTTCAGCTGGTATATCTCCTGGTTACGTTCAAACGTTTCTTGCAATTTCTTCTGCAACTCATTTAGCTTTTGCTTGTCGGTCCAAGAGTTGCCTGCCACGATCTTCGGTACCTGCGGCACCGGTAAAGCTGTGAGAAATAGAGCCGTTCCCGTGGCTATCAACGCTATCATACGCTCGCCGATGGCAACCTGCGTGCGTAGTCCAAAAATAGCATTCATGCCCTTGGCCTTCAGCTTGTTAATCAGCACTCGATGCAGTTCGTACTCCAGGAAGGGCAGACCATCCGATATCTCTTTGGCGTTCAGCTCCGCACGCAGATCTCTTTTGGCACGCACCACTTGGGCCTGCATGAAGCAACCTCTTCCTGTAACCTGCATAAACTCAGGCACTTCCAGTGTAGCGAGCAGTACATCCGGAACTCTTCCCTTGCGGCAAACCGCGCACTTCTTCATCTTCACATTGAAAGGCACCGAGCTAAGGTTGTAGGGTATGTGGCAGATGGCACAGGCATTCCGGGGTCCATTGAGTGGGGGAAGTCCATAGCGTTTACCTCCCGAACTGTTACCGGTACCCAGGGAACCGCTGTCCTTGCCAATGCTCGTATCCCCGGCGGTGCTTCCATTTCCGTCCTCCACGGAATTCGTCATGGCCGCAACGCTGGCGGTTGCTTTTGACATGGTAAAGATATCGGTTTGCGATACAGATCGATTAAACACCATGTTAATCACAGCCGCCGTTCCAGTGGCAGATAAAACGCAGACATCGTCACTAAAAAACAAAGATAGGTGAGTTCAGGCATTTCAATATAATAGATTATTGCAATTTACGTACGATATGGTTGTGGTCTCGGCATAACCTAGCACTACATTACAGCCCAGGGACCGGGCATGCGATCGGATCTCCATTCGTAGCTCCGTCCACCAGCTGTCTCGTACTTCCGGCTCATCCGGATTGGGCACGCGCTCCAGCAGTTTTACGGAACGTGCCGCGACCGTTGCGCCCAAATGAAGAATGAAGCCCGTCGGGTATTTTGTCATTGTCAGGAAGGGATACTCCAACATATCCAGACTGTCGGCCGCAGTTCCGGGTTTGACTCCCACCGTCGGCTGCGTTAAACGCATCATTGCCGTGGCGGCCACCAGACGCTCACTGGCCACACATATGGAGTTTCCTGGGAATTAAAAAGGGTAGCAAAGGTACTATAAGCCTTTCATGTGCACTTGGATTTGCTTTTCCGGGTCTTACACATAGCGATTACATTTATATTTACATCAGAATATCTTAAACACGTATGGAGTGTTGGAGATATGGAGTAGGCTGACAGAAAATGGTGAAAATATGGGCCGATATAATTTTCAATAAAAATTTTATTATGATAATTAATTAAAATAAATGTTATATTCCAAATGTAACGCCCAGACTTAAGCTCTGGGGCACTTGAATAGTTTAATTTAAAAAACATTAAATCAAATGTAAACCTATAAACTCAGATCCTCAGAACACACCAAGTCCCACTTCTATGACACGAGATGATGGTGTAGTGTAACATGTAAGGACAGATCAGATCGGATGAAGCATTCAAGACATGGCGATACAGAAGAGCAATAACCTGCTTAAAGTGCAGGGTGTAAAGAGACAGAAAGGAGCACGCACAGACACACAGAGTTACATCGAGAAAGGACACTGAGATTAGGCGGAGCATCTACTTACGCTTCCGGTGGAACGTAAAGGCTATGCCTGCTAGCGAGATGTGGCAGCGGACGCAAGGATAGAACGTTGAAAGATACGTTTATGGTTACTCAGAGACGAGACGGTCAGAAAAAGACACGTTGACAGAGAACACACAAATATTGATAGCCACTGGTGTTAAGATGCTTATAGTCTACAGCCTAACTCTAGTTATCAACTAAAGGGAATGATACTCCCTAAACAGTCATGTTTCCGATTTTAAATAAGAATACGATTTCAGCTTAGCGAACACTTTAAATATACGTTTAAAACATATTCGAAAACAGGGCTGTTTACATAGGCTGGCTCCCCTACATACCTTTGGGCGTGACACTAAGGTCGGAGTCGGAGGATCTGCGGCAGATCTCGCCGACGGTGGCCGGCACCATTGTCGTGGCCGTCGAGGCTGTAGATGTGGATGCGCTATCCGCATTTGTTGTCGCCGAGATGCCACTTTTCGAGGGACTGGGCGTCAACTTTAGACGACTGTTGCTCACCGGCGAGGCGAAGCGTTTCAAATTGGGACTACTACCCTCCACCGTTGTGGGTATATTGGACGGTCCAGTGCTTGCGGCTGCTCCTGTGGAACAGGGCTGCTGTTGGAGCTCGGTGCTGGATCTAATTACGCGTGGTGGTTGTTGTTGTCGAATGGCAAATGGAGCAAGCAATGATGATTCATTATTGTGGTTACTATGGTTAGTACTATTAGAGATATTTACAGATTGATCTAATTGGGTGAGGCAAGGGGAGTTATTGTAATCGAAGACGACTAGATTGGACTGGGTGGGAGTGGGTGTAGAAGGGCAGACGCGCAGCTCGGGCGCCTTCAGCAGCAACGTGTTGGGTGGAATAGGAGTATCGGAGGCAACTAGATGATTCAACGAGGCACTGCGTTGCATGGTCTTCTCGTAACTGGGGAGAAAGTTCAATTGCAGCATGGACGAGGATCCGCTGAGGTTGGATCCCAGCCAATCAGTGGAGCAGCTAGGCAGCTCCGGTTGCGAGCTGTAATACGGCTTGCGTTCCAGCGAGGGCACAAACGGATGCTTTGGTCTGTTCTCTAACTTACTACACTTGGGGCTCAGATGCATTAACTTTTGCAGGCGACGTGAGAAGCCTTTGAGGTCGTCGAGCAGATTGTGGTGGCTAGGACCCAAATCCTTCTGGCTGTTCTCGCAGCTCCGAGTCTCTCCTGGCTTAATCCAATTATCTTGTAGATCCTCCTCCTCTTCCGGGGAATCTTCCCCATTGCTCTCAGGTGGACCTATTTCCAGATCCAACTGCAGAGAGTCTTCTGATTCAGTTGAGTAATTTGATGTAGGTCGAGTCCTAGCCTGAAACTCATCCCCTGGCAAATCAGGTGCCGAGCGGGTGTTCTCTTGATACTCCATCAACCCTGGCACGGTAAGGAAACTCTTGACGGGCATATGACCAGGACGGACGTTAGAATCGCTACTAATGGATCTTGTTATAAAAGGGGGAATCGAGGACTTGGATGTCGATGCGGCGAAACGAGACTTGCGTCGCCGCCTAAAACTCGAGGTGGCTGCAGTGGCCCCGCCAAAGATGCTGCTCAACGACTGTGTAGCATTCTCCGGTATCTTTGGTTCAATCCGTCGGATAAGTGTAGCGTATTTCTGACTAAAAATTTTACTCGAAGAGAGCGTTAGACGGCGCATACGGTGTCGTAGTTTCTTTTCGCGATTTCGATCGCCACGCTCGTCCTCTTGCCTTATGAGATCCTGCATCAGTTCCGCATCCTCGGTGTCGCTGCTGGCACTCTCCAAGTAAAACATCGTTGCTGCTGCCGCCGCTGCTGCAGACGAGGGCGCCGACGAGCTGGGTTCCCTATAGATATTGAGACGATATTGCGGCGTGCGGCCGGAAAGCGGCAAACTTGAGCTGCTTGCCCCCGCACAGTTGAGGAAGTCTAGATACTTTTGTGTCAGTCTAGCCGTATTTGGATAAGATGGTACGTTAATGTTTTATAAACATAAACACGACACAACAACGAAACGACAACGATTGGAAAGTGCAATACGATACGACAAGGAGCGAAAATTAAGATATTGAGGGATGAACATCGTCGGAGAGATTTCGGTGTGGGGAAGAACGTTCAAAAGAAGAAAAAATTCGCTTTAGAAATTATTTAAGTTCGTTTTCTACTAGCTCCTACTTTCAGCTACAGATGCTAAACAAATTGTTTGTACAATCAAGGGTAGGTTGGCTTCGGGAACCGAAGTTTCAAATACTCTTGCACCCTGATAAGAAATACTTTTACTAGCACAGACATGGATAATAACATTATGTAATCATGTAATCAGACAGCTATAATATGACAATTGCTTTGCAAGAGTATTGTAAACAGCAAAATAAGTCAAAAGGTTTGAGTAATCAGACAGCGCGTAGTGCCACCAAATACTCACTCTTCGATCAGAGCCACATCCGCACTGTTCGGTTGACTTGTGCTAGTGTCCTTGATCAGCGTGACAGCCGTTCCAATGCCTCGGGCCACCACTCCCACGTCGCCCTCCAGATCGAAGCACTGGGTATAACCGATGACGGCATTAGCACCCATATTAATAGCCTTTAGGCCCATTCTCCTCTGCACCTGACCCGACAACTTGAGAAACACCACCTGGCGAGCCTCGTTAGAAGCACGCGGGGTGCGTATTTTGTCGATCCACTGGTACTCCGGATCGTCATTAACCACTAATTCCTCAACAAAGCCATGAATCACTTGGGCGCGGTAGCCAAATGGCACACACTGAGCTGTTGAAGAAAAGAGTATAATTAGACGATTTCATTAAAGAATATATTAATGTTTATACAGTGGAAGAAGGGGATGCCGCAGGAGCTTTGACGGAATTTGTTGACGTCCGAGAACAGATCAACTTTAACAATCACATTGATCTCGCCGCGGATGCCATGCATGGTGTCGAAAACGGGAATCCAGCCGGATAGCACGGTGCCCTTGCCGTGCACCGCCTGACTAGAGCTCTCCAAGCACAAGGGATTCAAACTGATGTTGACCTTTCCGATCGCATCGTTCGCGGAGTATGTGTCGTAGTCCATCAGGCGGATTTGCAGGGGCTCATCCTGGAGCTCAGCATCGTCCACCTCGAAACGGAACCTATCGGACAGCAAGGGTTACAATATATGGAGTTAGTGAATGGTCGGACCTCACCAATCGGTATTCCAGGTGGGATTCAAACTCTTGCGGAAGACATCCGTCTTGTGGGTCACCGAGGCCAGTTTGATTTCCACGAAGGCGTCCGTGGTTTCGCTGCTTTTGTCCATCACGGGCAGGTTGCGCGCCGCCTTAATCTTCACCCCCACCTTGCCCGGCATCCTGTCGCTCTCGCCTGTTGTCCCTTTTCACCAGATACCAGATTGTGACCACCGAATTTCGTCCAGAAGGGTTCACGTTTTATCTTGTGTTTTCCATTTTTCCCAGTGCTTAGTGTGGCCGTAGTCCGCGAATGGCAATTTACCAACAGATTAGGTCCTTGTGACTGCTTAGAGATTTATTTTGCTAATCTAAATAATAATAAAAGGGGTTTTTAAGTCATTAAGCAATAATCACCTTAATTTTTCTTAAGCAAACTAAAAAAAAATTACTGGCTGGAGTCATTTTAACTACAATTTAAAGTATACCTTCCGGATATATTTTTGATATATGCTTACGTAAAATATCCTTACAAATAATGGCAAGCCTCTATTTGTATGTTCTTTTCATAATTTTAGAGCTATAACCTTTTTTGGATTTTAACTTGTTTTGTAAATTAAACTGTAGAAATTAAAAATAGCATGTTTTATATCTAGATCATCGACCGAGGATGACAACACTGGCGGAAAATAGACGAGTGGGCAGCGCTGAAACAAAAATCAATAGTCGCCGCCATATTTTTTCACTCAACGAAAACCAACGCGCTCCGGACACCGAATAATGTTTAGAAAAATAAGTTATTTAAGATAAGCTACAGTTAAAAGCGCGCCGAGTGACTAAGTGACTAGTAAGCATCGGCAGAAGCGATTCCCTGTCGCCAGCAATCGTCCCCTAAATCGCCAATCTCCGGCTTCCAAACGCTGCTTCTTCTTCCTTCGGCTTCAGCAGTCTTTAAATCCGCGTCCAAGTGCGAGGTATTCCTGTGGAAGTGCTAGCGCGTGTGATCTAGTGTGCGAGAACAGCCAGCGAGGAGCATGGAAGGAGCCTCAGTGTCCTCGCCATCGATGGGCGGCCCACGTGGCGGCGGTTTTCGCGGACGGGGTGGTGGAGCACCTATGCGCGGTGGCTTTGATCGCGGTCGTGGTCGTGGCGGTCGTGGACACTTTATGGGTGGCATGCGCGGAGGCGGCGGCAGTGGAATGGGCGGAGGACCGCCCATGCAGGGCATGATGTCGGGTCCTCCGAGGGGAATGCGTGGCTCCCGTGGCGGAATGGGCTATCAGGGACGCGGCGGTGGTTATCAGCCGCGTGGTGGCGCTCCCATGGGCATGCGGGGCGGTCGCCCGCCCTTGTATTCGCAGCGTAAGTTTCCGCAGACAAACCCTTGACTCCCTACCACACCTTGTAAATCCAATCCAATCCAATTTAGCTCCCAAACAACACACAGGTGCCGAGAACAACAAGACCGTATCACCAGTGCCCACTTCGGCGATCAGTGGAGAGCAGCCGGCAGTTGAAGCAGACGGTGACGAGGTCACGGATGGTCAGACATCAGCAGTCGTCCCTTCTTCAAACAACTCACATGGCGGCAGTTCCGGTCCTGGTGGCAGCAACGGCGGGGGACCTCCTCCCTATCTGGGCCGTGGACGTGGACGCGGTGGTCCCTACAGTGGACGTGGACGTGGTGGCGGCGGCTACAATTCGCACATGAACGGCAGTGGAGGCGGCAGTATGTACGGTGGCTCCCACAGCCACCACGGCAATTCCATGGGCGGCGGTCCGGGCAGCGAGCACGGATCGATGCCCAGGCGCGGAGCTCCTCGCGGCAGGGGCGGCTACAATCAAGGTATGAGTCGGCCACCCTTGCATCACCATCAGGCACATAATCCCAATACACAACTTGCACCGGTACCAGCTCTCAAACGCGGCGCTCCCGGTGGTCCTGGTCCCAAACGCGGTCGCTACGAGGGCGGTCCCTACGGCCAACGGCCCATGACGCCCAAGTACCATTCCACCCAGCAGCATATGGGTGGCGGAGGGGGCGGCGGCATGTCTTCGCAGTCCTCTTATGGCTCGCCGCCAAGTCATCATGCGCCACAGCAAAGGTAAAACATCAAATTTTTAAAAATTATATAATCTATATAAATCAATCAAGCGAAACATAGCCACAGAGTTTCTAAGTATGCAAAAAAAAATTTAACAACTTTTGACGCTATTCCTTATGCAGCCATCACAGCTATCAGACCCACGACCAGACACAACAAGTGGATCCCTACGCGCAGAGCAGTTACAGCACCCAGACCACCCAGCAGGGATACAATGGCTATGGCCAGGGCAGTAGCAGCAGCTATGCGCCTCACACATCGCAGACAAGTGCTCCGGCGAGCAGCAGCTACGGAGCCCACCACAGCACCGAATACGATCAGAGCCAGTATCAGAACTACAAGTGGGTTACCTAATCTTGACCTCTATCTCTCTACTTTTGTTGCCTTCAATTGGACCAAGCAAGTGCTAATGTTTCTTTGTGCTTCGCAGCAGCTCGACGGGATATGCTGCTCCGCAGGACACGCGGTACCAGTCGTACAGCCAGGACTACAGCCAACAGTACGGCTCGACTGCAGTGGACTACAATGCTACCGGACAAGCGGACTACAGCCAGCACGGAGCGCAAAGTACTGGCTATGATGAGCGCGCCTACGCGGGTTATGGTATGTTCCTTCAGTGCCCTCTAGTTGCGTCATCCGTCATCGGTGTCTTCTTACAGATTCGCAGGCCTACTCGCAGAACTATTCAAACGCAGCCGCCTACTACTAAAATAAAAAAACATCTTCCCACTCCCACCCCTGACGGCACTCTAGAGATCAGAACGCTGCGCGTGCTTCGATAGGCCAAGAAACCAAATATGAGGGATTAGGGCAGAAAAATATCGAGTAACAGGAAGGGAATATATGTTGAATGCATCAATTAACTTGCAATACATAATACGCAACACACACACACACGCGGTCACTCAAAACATACAATTTTAGTTGTTAGGATAACAGTTCTCTTTTTCTTAGCATTTAAGCAAACTAGTGTTTCGACGTCTTTCTACATAAACCCTTAACCCAAATTACTATCCCCCTTTGTTTTCGTTTCGTCTCCCTACGAATCCTGAACAGATATATTGAAAATATCCGCCTTGCCTGTTGTTTAATGTTCTCTTAATAGACAAACGGAGCTAGCCTGCACTGAGCTCCAGCCTAAGAAAATTAAATGTGCTCCTCCTTAGTTCCATTTACAATTACAAGTCACCTGTGACCAAAGTATGCTACAATCATATTTTTTATATGACGGAAAAATACGAGTACGCACGTACATGATCTTCTGAATGAACGAAACTAAATTAAAACATTTTGTGAATCATGTAAAATTGTATACAGATGAATGCAATGTATATTTTAGTTATTAAGCTGAAAACTGCAAACGACTCTCGACACAGTTATTTTCAATCCCACATGCATCTGAAAGCGTTTATGATTTTGCAAGATTATGTTTTTTCTTTATGAATGACGAAAACGTGACAAAAGCGTGACTTATTACTTTTTTTGTTTTACAAAAACCTCTTATAGCAGCAATTTAAGCAACAAAAGCTCGTAATTATGTAACTCCTTAAATTTAAGCCGAAAAAAAATCAAGTAACGAAATACACAAAGTATATTAGAAAAAGATGCAAAAACCATAACCATAATCAAAGTCAATAAAATAATGTTCAAAAATGTGTTTAATGCATTAAACTTATTTAAGCGTACATATTATTATTTAAAATATTTTGTTTAAAAGAAATCAATCAGTAAAAATGCAAATTATTAAGCCAAACAATCAATCAAAAGACGAATAATAAGTGAAAAATGTGAAAAAACGTAAGACTGAATATATTCACGAACCGAAGCTGCACTGCAAGCATTCAAGTCATGAAAACTGAGAGGCAAATGAATGAAATAACAAAGTATTAAGTATTTACGAAACGATTACAACCAAATGCAAAGAACAATCAATCGCCAAGCGATTAACAAAGTGCCAAGTATACCTGACCAACAAAACTCAGGAAAAAAACGAAACTAAAATCCAATATTACGAATGCGTTATGAAATTTCAAGGACATCAGTCAATCAAATTATTAAGATAGTGTCGCGAAAATAATGTTTACTATGATTGAGCTTACACGTACCATAACCATTCACTTAGATAAATAT